AAAACTCAACAAAGCACTCGTATTCTTCAGATCAGATCTGATATAGTTTCCGGCCGGCGGTTGCTAGTCCGGACTGTAAATATTCTTTTTCTTCTGTTGTAGATCTAGGTTTCCGTTTTAACGGATCTTTTGTTGTATAATATTTCTGTTTAGCGGATCAAGGTTTTCGACTTTGGTCGGATTTTGGGTTTCTGATTATAATTGGAAAGTGTTTTAGTTCCGATTTGGATTTCTATGTTAGATCTGAGTTTGTTGGTGTCGGAAATTCTTATTTTACTTCCTATTTTTAGATTCATCTTCTCTATGGCGGGGAGAGATATCTTCCCCTGGTTCCTCTTTAGGCGATCACGGTTGGTCGTTGAGGTGTGGTCATGGTGGTTAGATGGATTGGAGGAGTTCAATCGTGAAGTTTGGTGAGATTTCTACCCTCTACTCAGACATCAGATGAAATCGGAGTTTCTACAGGAGATTTGGAGAAGCTGGCTATCTTCTACGCATTAAGTCGCATGCACTGGATTTGGAATTCCGGCCATCGGAAAAGTGTGTCGGTGGGTTCACCGCATGAACTTGTGTTTTGGGCTTTACTTTGTAATCATTCTCCAAATTTCTTTGTTTTTGGCCCAATGGGCTTATATAATAATAATAAAAAAGTTGACGCAAAAAAAAAAAAGAATATTTGATGTATTTTTAGAAAAATGTTGAGCAAATTTTAGACCAAATCCATATGGTTTGATGTAAATGTCGGTCTAAACTTTCAACTTTATGGTCAATCTCTTCATCTTAAACTTTTCCAAATAAGATTTGAACTGTAAACTCTAAAACAACATAAATATTTTTATCGGATTCTAAAATTTTGCCACTAATTCCATCAGCGGATTAACTTTATTTGCTTGAATTAATTTTTGAATGTTCAATCTTTTTAAACTCCTTTAAAATCCAGTTTTAGCTGTATCCAAGTTCTTACTTCAAAGGAAAAGAAAAAAAATCATAAGATTAAACTAATTACTTATGTGGACATATTCGTATGTCCATTTGAATAATGCATTCACATGTTCAATTCAAATGATGTATTCAGATGTAGCTCTATTTTTTTTTATTTTTTTTCAAGAATTTACATCTACATATATTCGACTCAATGTGGAGTGGAATTTATTGGTACAACAAGCATAAATAATACTATATTCTCATCCATACTATGTGCGGGAACATTCGTTGTATATTGTTTTAAACTATATTTGGTTTTCATAGTAAATCGTATATATATTCTAACTTTAGATATTTTATGTTTTATCTTGTAAATAGAATCAAATAGTTTAAAATAATATAATAGTTTTTGTTTTTAACTTGTTGGTAGAAATCAAGTAGTTTAAAGTATTGTATTTTATATTGAATAGTCATCAGTGGATAGGGGTGTCAAAATGGGTAATCCGATCCAAATGGTTCGAGATTTTAGTGGGCAGGTTTGACCCGATCCATTTATTATATGGGTTAAATTTATATACACAAACCCAATAATATGAAATCTGATGGCTAAATAGGTTATATGGATACCCACGAACAAATTAAATATCATAATAAGCTAACTAAAAAAAAAATACCATGTCATATTATTATAAATAAATTCAACAAAAATTTTCAAGTTTCTAGCAACAAACTAAATTAAAATGTTTTTGTATCTTACGATAAATAAAATTCATAAAACCACAAAACCAATAAAACCAGTAAAACCAGAAAATCAATAAACTATTGATTAATTTTAACAAACAATTGAATCTTCATAGGATTCATCTGCTTCCTTGGATGCATCTGCTTTCTCATCATCATCATCACTTTCATTGTCTACA